AGAATACCAATAGCTGATACCCAGCAACAACTAATGATCATGTAAATCGAAGAGGCAGCATTTGTAGCCACTGTCATGGCTACGGAGTTTGGGGTTGGAAGGCCCTAGCCCCAGCAGATATCGGCTTCAACTCTGAGCCAGCTTCAACATTGGATCGTAAAAAGCCTCAAGCGCAACGACTTCAAGCCTGTCGCCCGACAGCCCTCAGCCCTAAACCCTACATCTAAAGCCCAAGGCGAGCTTCAGCAGCTTCACCCCCCGTCCAGCGGGGCCGGCTTCGGCTTAGCTCTGCAAGAGCCTGGGTCTAGGGTTGCCTCTATCTTCTTAGCGATTCACAAGGGTTTCGATGGGGGCCCGAGTCTGAAACCTTAAGCCCTGGACGCTAGACCCTAAATCCCGATTCGAGTTTCGGGTGTCTTCTTTCTCAGTTCTCGGAAGGATCTTGCAGGAAGTTGCAGGTCATCCTCGGAGGGGCCCACATGAGGGCAGCTCAACCCACTCGGAAGGGCTCCACCAGGAAGGATGTTTTGGGGAGTTGTGATGCACACCTTGCTTCCGGCGCAGTGCAGGAAGGTGTCTGTGAGGCTTCTTGTATCTCCGGCTCCATCGCTTCAATCTCTTCGTAGATCCATGACTAAGATGTTTGAGGTTTAGGGGTCAGGGTTGTAGGCCCAGGGAAACCATGTTTGAGAGCAACAGCCCGACGCAGTTCTGCAGCAGCTTACTGCAATTTCCAAGACCCCAAACCCTAAACCCTAAACCCCAAATCCCTAAACCCCAAATCCCTAAACCCCAACCCCTAAACCCCAAACCCTAAAATCCCACTCCGAAATCCCAAGGTCCCCAACCGTCTGAACTTTGCCTTGGTCTATCGGTCGTAGAGGCTGACAGAGGCTTACTGTAGGGTGCAGAGACCCGGGTTTAGGGCTACAGGGTGTGTGACCCTTACTTAAAGGACCATTGGACGCAGTAAGTAGGGTTATAACTAAGGTAACTATACTTATATATTCACTTGCAGCCGCATTTAAGGGACTTATCACCTCACTTACTAAGTCCCATGATCCTCAACCCTAAACGCTAAAACCTAAACCCTAAGCCCTAAACCCTAAACCCTAAACCCTAAACCCGTGCAGAGGTGTTAGGATGCAGGGATGGGGAGGCTTCCCGCTCGGGGCTCAGAGCTGAATTGCCAGGTGGCGCTGAAAGCCTTCGAGAGCGAGCTTGGAGTGCAGCTCGGCGCATGCTATACCTGGAGGATCATGGGATTTAGTAAGTAGGGTTATAATTACGGTAACTATACTTATAACCCCCATTAAGGGACCTATAATCTTACTTACTAAGTCCCATGATCCTCCAAGTAGCAGGTTTGAATAATCAACAACTTATAGTATGTATATAGCTCTAACCAACTATAATATAGTGCGGTGAAGGCGATTGAAACCATTGCTGATTTCAGATTGGGATGAGGATGATTGCAGATATGCTTTGCAACGTCGGACCTCCCGTCGGTGAAATTCGATGGTATAGTTTGAACTTCCTCCGGCATGTGCCTTTAGAGATGAAGGTGCTGCTTGTGAGTGCTTGTGCCGCAACTTCGGAAATGCCACATGTAGAGCTTGCATAACAGCCCGTGGGCCCAACTCAAGCCTCTGCGCTCCAAATCGTTCAAGGTAACAGTCCGTACCAAAAGAGAGAGCATCACGGACCTCTACACCCGAAGTCTCGAAACCCTAAGCCCTACTTGGAGGGGACTTAGGAAGTAAGATTATAAGTCCCTTAATTGGGGTTATATAAGTAACTATGCGTATAGTTACCTTAAGTATAGCCCTACTTACAAAGTCCCATGATCCTGTAAACCCTAAACCCTAAACCCCTAAACCCTAAACCCTAAACCCTAAACCCTAAGCCCTAAGCCCTAAGCCCTAAGCCTAAGCTTTAGATCTTCAGACCCGGCAGCCCGACTCTCCAAAATCCTGATCCAGAAGTCCCGAGCTTTTGCCGCTGCCCAGCAGGAAGAGCCCTTGTTATTTTGGTTTAGGGTTTAAGGTTTTAGGTTTCAGGGTTTAGGGTTTAGGGTTTCAGGGTTTAGGGTTTAGGGTTCAGATTCAGGGTTCAGGGTTTAGGGTGTAGGGTTTAGGGGGGTTTGACATGGTAAAAGCCAGAGAACCTACGGTGTACATGGTAACACCCAGAGAACCTAGCGAAGCCTCAGCTCGAGACCCGGTTGCCACTTTCCAAGGCCCGAGCCCGCAACGCTTGATCATAGACACCCTCATCTAACACAGCTCATAACACCCTAATGAACCCACGAAGCCCTAAACCCTAAACCC